AGAAGTTCAGTTAAAACAGAAAGTGGTATGTTAGTCAAGGCAAACAGAAATGATCACGAGAATTGTCCCAAATAAAAAAAAAATAGACTGAAGATAAAAGAAATTCCCCAAAGATTCTTGTAGTTAATAATGTTTTCTATACTGGAATCACTGAGCACCTCTTTCTGTGATGGGATATTTTTGGTCTTGGTTGGGTTCTTATTTTAACAAAATTGTCCTACATGGAATGATTTCCAGTACAGCCAGCCTGTGTCTATTTACTAAGGACATTTGCAATGGGTGCCATATCCACACCTCTCCTGGGATTGTCCCTGTACTCTACACTCTATCCACACACATTCAATACAAACCAGGGATGATTAACTCCCCATGTAATACTCTCCATTCTCTGTCTAGTTTCCACTCATTTTCCCACATCTGCGACCTATGTCACCTAAACCCATAGGTTCCTCTTTCTCACTCCCTTTTTCCTTTCTCCTCTTGCCTCTCTGGGGCTTTATCTTGATGTGGCAGTTCTGCCTCAGTATTAGACTCTATCTAATGTTACAGACCCTGGCTAACAACGTGACATTCCAATTTTGTTCTTTCAGATAAAACCTACTGCTGCAAAGCCATTACTCTCCCCCAAGACAGCATCAGATTTACCTGGGTCCTAGCTTTCAGTTTTACCACTATCATGATCCTAGTTTCAATTCTCAGGTAGGGATGATGACTCACTTCGATATTCTACTCTCTCCTTCTTCCTCTGCAGTGATTCAAATCTGACTTTTCTTTCTAGACTCTATTTGAAGATTCTTTATTTGTAATATTTTTTTGAGAACTTACATCTGCAAATCTACTACAACTATGTCAATATTGATTAAGTTTTCAAAAAGGGATATGATCTATATGAAATATTAAAAAGTTGGTCTCATAGTTGACAAGTGAGAGCAGAAGAGTTACCAGAGGCGGGGGACAGGATAATGGGAGAAGCCTGTGGAGAGGCTGGTAAAGGGGCATTAAGTTATAATTAAGTAGGAGTAAGAAGTTCTGATGTGCTACTGCAGAGTAGGATGACTATAGTTCAAAAAGTTAGAAGAAAACAGTTTGAATGTTTTCACCATAAAGAAATGATAATCTTTTAGGAGAAGGATATATTTAACCTGATTTAACATTATATAACATAGAGATGTACTGAAACATCACATGCTCCAATTGAGCAATGGCATGGTTTACAATCATTTTCTGTGGGGACCTTTATGGGTAATATCTCTTCCAAGTTTCTATATTTTGTTGCAGTCTGAGGGAACTTTTCATCTTTCCCTTGAGAGGTCCAGTACAATATTAGGATTGGTCTTGTCTTGGTGTGAGGCTGCTGGTTTCCTAGAAATCACATGTATGGGTCTTAGTGTCCTTGGTAATGTTATGTTGGGGAGCGGGTTGTCTTATCTATTTAAGGATATGGATCACAAAAGACACCAATTTCTACAAAAGGAAGAAAAGAACACCAGCTAGGACTCTTGAATTATCAAAAGTACTTCTGCTTTTTTCCCTCTTGATAAAGATCAAAGGTGATTATTATAGGTTAGGGGCTTATAACAGAGAAATAAGGATAGTGGCAAAGAAGGTCAACATGAATATTTTTAGCTCACATAAATTTTGGGCACAGGGTCCCCTTTGGGCTAGTCCTGAGTCAATTCCTCATGGTATACTAGATATCATGAGATCATCAATGTTTCCAAATATTCAGAAAGCAAGGCTAGTGGCTGTCTGCGATCCCCTGAGGGCTACTGCTATGAAGACAAAAGCAGATCCTACTAGGGGAAACATTCGTTAATATTTTATATATTGTCTTATATTGTCAGTTTTTGGTTTTTGTTTTCTCAAGTTGGTTTTTATCATTCCTGCTCATCTTCCTTAATTTAAGCTCAAAGACCTACACATGGCATTTATTAATATACCAGCTAACCAATTAGAAAATCATAGACATATACCTGGGAAATGGATTTTCTTAAAAGATACAAAACTGACTGTGTAACAAACTTAGAATTTCACGCTTCTTCCTGGTATCTCTGATACAACAAGCAGAAATTATTATGGGAGACCATCTTGGATGTAGCATTTTGCATATTTCAGCACTTTTTTCTCCTCAGATATTATAGGGATCTTTTAATATTTCTAGACCAGTAAGCATAGTGTGAAAATAAAAGACATGCTCCTTTTAATGTTTTAGTAGAAACTAAAAGCGCAGTTAACTTGCTTTCCTAAGAATGTAAGAATGACTAATAATGATGGGCTTGTGATGGTAACAGAAGCCCAGGGAGACTCTCTAGGAAAAAAACGAGTCTATTATATTATGCACTTATTTCTAGTTATATCTGAGTTACAAACACTAGTATGATTTGTGGTTAAAGACCTGATCCCTATTAAGGAGAATTACAGTATGAGGGACTTGGGCCACTTTGACCCTGAAAAACAGTCTGACATCAACACCGTAATCAGAGTTATACCAATAATGATGAACTTGTTAACTCTTTGCTCAATGTTTTCAACGCAGTTTCGTCAATTATTGTCCTCTTATTAGTTCTACTGAGCTCAATTATGTTCCACTTATACTTCTAAGATTTACTTCACTGGCATATTTTAATGTCTATATTAAACTTTGCCCCCTGGAACTCTGGCCAGTCTCATCTTTCCTGTGTGATCACCATTTCTACCAATCTGTACTGTGCAGAGCTAAGGCCTGGAGGTGGGCAGTTTCAGGGAAGAAGAAGGGAGGGTGGCAGGAAATGAGATGAGAAAGAGATACAAAGAAAGGAAAAAAGCAGGCTGAAGTTCTTCTGCAGCCCTGCTCCCCGCCCTGGGGATAACGGTCCCAGCCGGGGTCCGTGTCTTCAGACCTCTGTCTTGGAGGAGAAGGAGGTCTCAGGGAAGAAGAGCACCAGCACATGCCCTGGGCAACTGGGCTTCTCCACGGTGACACTGGAGAAATCAACCCAGTGGGGTGGCTTGATTATTATCATATGAATTTGTCCACAATCTGGATAGGATTTTTGGGCAGTTTTCATATTAAAAAGTTTTTGCTTTTCTACATCTATCTCCACAGAATGCAGGGGCAGGTCAGGGTCCCGAGTGTAAGAAACAATTTTTCTTGTAGTGTTATAGCAGTAATTAATAATAACAGCAATACTGTGTTAACATTTGCACAAATGGTGTGAAAGTAAAGGTGGGTAAAACTGTTGTCACGTTACCAAGGTATCCAGGAAGCTTCACCAAACTACTAGTAACCACTGTTCTTTTAATTGCCACATACTTGCAAAAAAATTTGCCAGTTTCAAATGACAAATAAAAAATACTAGTTTTATTAAATCCCAACCCTTGATTACTTTTTAATACCCTCTGTGATCAAATGCAGAATATACACAAAGCAAGAGGAGTGTTATGCACTTGTTTGAGAACGGAGCTGAACTCTTCTCTTTTCCACAGAATTTGGCTTCTTTCACTTGGAAAAATGACCGACACTGTGGATTACAGACTTGGTTATCTGGCAGGTACTTTCTCAGTCTGTCCCTTCAAGGAGAACAAGTGACTGTTTTGTAGCTGAAGATAAAATTTGTACTTTAAACTGAAAACTCAAATTCTTGAAAGCCTGCATCTGCCTCTGTGAACGTGACAGCTTCCCAGTATTAAAAAAGGCCTTTGAGATGAATGTTGTTGATATTAACAAATGTGAATTTCATGATATTGTACTTTGAAATGTGTCAACCTTTGAAAGATCTGCATAATCAATATTTAAAAAAATGATCAAGGCATAATACTATAAATTGTGCATGAGTAAAATCCACTTAATGTACAATAGAGACCAATAGAATCTGATATAACAGTATAAAAAGTTAATTGAGATAATTTCAGATGCCACATTAAAATGTGTCTTTGGTAAAGAAACTATTACCTACAAGCTTTCTCATAGTGCTAAAGCAGAAAATTCACAAATACATGAAAAGATTATTAAAAACTCATTCCATTTCCAACTACATATCTCTATGAGACCAGATTTTCTTACATATTTTAAGCAAAGCAATGTATTGCAACAGATATAATGCAGAAGCACCCATTAAGCTAGATAGGAAAGTATTTGTAAGATTGTACAACAATGCCATTTTTATTATTAAAATTGTTTTAAAATAGTTATTTTTCATAAAATGAGTAACATTTCACTCTCCCTTTATCTATAATTTTACTTTTTCCAACATCAGTTATCTACAGTCTGAAAATGTTTTCCTCACTCTTTCAAGAGAGAGCACGACTATATTCACATAAATTTTATTTCAGTATTTTATTTTATTATTAGTTATTGTTGTTAAACTGTGTCTAATTTATAAATTAAAATTATCATTGGTATCTAGGATCTTGGAATGTATCCTCCATAAAGAGTAGGACTATTCTGGATATAAAATACTTAATATATAATATGTATAAAACAAAAATATAAAATATAAGAAAATTTTATTGTTAAAGTGAATAAATATTTTTGTAATTCCAAGTAACGGGTTATCAAGTTAACTTATAAATTAATAAATTATTATTCACCAATACAATCAAAAATCAATAAAAGTTCTTTAGAGGCCTCAATTTTAGCAAGGAAAGGGGTCCAAATTTCTGCTGGGACAAAAAGTTTCAGAGCTGTTGCTCTCTACTAATAAATATTCTTGAAGCACAGAAATTCTCTGAGAGTGTTTCTCCCACAATACACATCTCATGAGATGACTCAAAGGAGAAGGGCTTTCATTTTGGAGTAAGTCTGGGAAACTTAGGGAATCATAACACCCGCCATTCCTAAAGAGCTACAATCCGTATTAGCCTCTGGGGGCCCAGGGAACTTCCACTGTCCTGTCTGTGCTTCATGGTATCTTACCTGGTGTTTCCTTATGCTATATCAGGATGTGTTTGAGTCCAGAACATGCTGGTCTCAGGGGCATATAAAAGAGGGGTGAGCTCACTGGAAAATCACCATGACTCACCTTCAAGGCGGACCACCAGAGGCACTTTCAGTTCTAGTTCCCGGCAGGCTTTGGTGATTCCATTGGCAATGATGGCACAGTTGACGATACCACCAAAAATATTGACTAGGATGGCTTCAACCTGAAGTGAAAAACAGGAAGGTGCCCATCAAGATGCTGATAACAATCTCAAAAAAAAAAACTGGCTAAATAAGACAGACAATTAAAATAAGAGTTTTTAGTTTTGTTTTTTCACAAGACATAAAATATAAAAAGGGCCAGAATATGTTAGGAAAGTTAAATTTAGTAATGAATTAATAAATAGCAATATGCGGCATTATCATATGAACCCATATTGTCCTATCAATGATTCCTCTGAGTTCAAAATGAATTCCAACACTGTTCACTTACCTGTTTACTGTATATTATCTTCAGAGTTATTTTCATACTGTTATCTGGAACTGACTTTAAATTTTTTTATGAATAGTGTCAATTACAATTTTAAGCACTTGTATTTCTTTTCTACATGGTGTACATAAATTTTTTTTTTTATTACTTATGGTACTTTACCCAACAGTCAAAACCCAGAACTTACTATTTGTTGTTTGGCGTTAATATGTAAAGATTCAAACTTTTCCATGCTTCTGCAACAGCTTTCTAATATGCTAGGGGCCCATTCTCAAAAATAAGATACAATTATCTTATACAGCAGTCTTTTTGGTTAAGAAAAACACACCCCAAAATGAAAAGATATTAGTTCATACCACAGGCATGATACAAAGTCAAGACACTGAATGAAGTTTTCAGAAATGTAAATTTAAACCTGTCATGTTAACTTGTTTGTACATATTCCATAGTCAAAGGTACGTAGGCCAAAAAAAAAATTGTGCTTGTCTTGATTTGATAAATAGGCATAAGAAAATCCTGTATAATTAACATGAAGAATGAGATAATGAAGAGAATTCATTACCTAGATTAATTGATAACACCCACAGAAAATAGTTATTCATCAAGCTTGAGGCATCAAAATTCCAACAATAGAGTCACAATTAAACTACACCACAGTAATTGCAAAGCATATATGTGTGTTCTGCATGCCATTTTTAGACTCTGTTATTTCAGTATGTTAAATTAACTGAGCACAACACAGGAAAAAAGAAGACCTTTCATTTGTACAGAACTTAACTGTTTAGAAAGTGCCATTACGTGAATCCTCAGGGTTTTTTTGGCTCCATCCCAGAACCCTGCTCATTCAGTATAGCGAGGCCTGGTCCTCTGGAGCTCAAGAACCCCTGGGAATGTTCAAGGTCATAAGGTAACATGTAGCCTTGGTGAGGCTCAAAGTCAGTTCTCTAGATTGCCTAGTGATTGTTCATTGGTGCTGGTGGCTGGAGCTGGGACCCTGGGCAAGTTACATAATTTTTACTGAATGTGGTTTCCTCCTCTGTACAATAACAGCACCTAGTCCATAAGTCCATAAGTTGTCAAAAGGCCTAAATAAACATAAACATGTGAAACATTTAAGACACAGCTTTAAATGCACTTAATGGATATTTATGCATGAATTTGTTCAGTGAGCAATGATGAAAGTGGGCAGCTCACCTAAAGAGCAAGTAAGAAAACCTTTTTCAGTAGACAACAGCTAGGTAGAATTTGAATATCATGGGAATTCAAGCTTTCTGAAGTCTAACAAAAAGGTAATGATGGAGGAATAAAATAAATGAGCAATACTTTTCAAACCAATTATGGGTAGAGGCTACTCCCCCAAAAAGAAATCTCCCATTACCATTCACAGCAGGCCCACTGATAAGCAGAAGCTGGGTTTCTAATGATAGCTATTAAATGCTGTAAGTACTGAGGCTTGGATAGCACTGGTTTCCAAGTGACTGTGGGGTGGAGAGGAACTTGCCAGAACAATGGAAGAAAAACACTCAAGAACAACAATGACTCCATGGGGTCTGAGATGGAAGATAAGGAATTACTGGGGCTCACCAAGGTTTGTGCAGGAGAACAAGCATCCTCTGAAGCCCACCCTAGACTCATGAACCTCTACACTGAATAGACCACACATTTTTTTTTTCCCTTGTTGTACTAGGGATTGAATCCAGGGCCTTTACCCTAAGGTACATGCCCAGCCCTTTAAAAAATATTTTTTGGAGATAGTACTTCACTAAATCCCTAAGTTGCCCAGGGTGGCCTCAAACTTGTAATCCTCCTGCTTCAGCATCCCTCAGTGCTGGGATTATAGGGATAGACACCTTGCCCAGATCCCCATCATGCATTCTTTAAGGATGAGTTCACATGTCAGCTTCTCATGGGCATACTCCTGACTGGTCAATTTGGGATTTGTTCTTTAACAATCAATACAACATCTTTGAACTTATATGAATGTACCTAAATAGGTAGAGATGAGGGATGAGGAGGAGGGAGATGTCTGTGATCTTGTGATTTCAATTCCACTGTCTGAGCAAATTCCTAGGACTGAGGGCCAAATATGAGCTGTGAATCTGCTGTTGCCTCAATTCCCTCAGATGCCTTGCATGCCCTTGTCTCCTTGTTAAACACTGATATTCTTCATGCAGAAACTTGTACCTAAAGATAAGCCAATCATGATTTGGTGCTGCATCCAAAGATCTCAGGTAGAAGGAAGCGGCCAAGATGGAGGCAGAGATGTTACCCAGCTTAGTTTACTGAGAAAACAACTAAAGGTCAAATGGAAAAATAGCCAGAGATGATGCAGATACGACAGAGCAGGACAGGACCTAGAGGCCAGGGATGGAGACTTGGCTCCTCTTGCTTATCCCTACCATTCCCAGATCTGTAAAAGCAGGACTAGACAGCAACTTCCTTGGGGACCACAGATGGCACGACAGGACAGGGACAGAGGCATGGAGAGAAGAATGAGGTGTGAGAGAGCAAGACAGTGAGAAGAGGGAAGAAAGAAGCACTGAGAGAGGAAATATGTGTGAATGTGGAGGGGAGGAGGGAGGAGGGAGGGAGGGAGAGAGAGAAAATTGTTAGAGGAGGAGGAGAAAAGGGTTGAGGAAGGCTAACAAAACAGCTAGGATTCCCACAGGAGCAGTAAGACCTAGGTGCACCTAGGCTGCTTGGCTCAAGGAGGCAGCCCTGACAAGACACCCAGTGAAGGGGAGGGGAGCCCATTCAAAAAGAGGTTCCACCATCCTCACATCCTTCTCCCAAGAGGCATTTGCTACAGTCAGGCATTTTAATGGAAATCTGATTTAAGGTTTCACTCTGGGCCAATTTCCATAATTAACTACTATAATCTGCAATCTCAAACTGAGAATGAAATTAAGACAGTTTAAAAATGAAAGCTTAGTGACATCATTATTATTTAGCACTTATAAAGCATGTCAAATTCTCAAAGTGTGCTTCATATGTTCATTCATTATACAGCTACTAACTGCTGTTCCATGACAGTACCAACAACAACTTTTAATTGTCTCTTCTTCCCCTGGCAAAGAGAATGTTAAAAAAGAAAAGTCAGGGCTACGTCTATATAAGTAGCCCTGAGAAGCTCCCAGAAGATCCCTAACTGCTTTTTGGAATAGGGCCTCTTCAAGTTCTTGCTTGAGAATTAGGAGGGTTGCTACTTACTGTTTCAAAAAAAATAAAGATAATCTAATGAGGCAGTTAAGGTGCCAGATCCAGAGCAGCAGTCACCAGGTCCCAGGCAGCTGTTCCTCCATGGGGTAGAGTCTGCAGCGACCCAGGCAGCCACACAGGTGAATGGGTGCTCGGAAGGCAGACTCCTGGGGTGTCTGTGATTTTAGCTTTCCAAGACTCTCTACACTGGGTAGATTTTAGCCCACAATGAAAGGTAAAGAATGTACTTTACAAGAAGAAAAGCTGCAGTGCTTGCTATTTATCAAGCTCTTCTCAACCCCAAATAAACCAACCAACCAACAAAAAAATCAATACTAAAACCCTTTTGTTGGAACACAGATCCTTTCACGTATCTGATGAACATGAAGAATCCTTGGTCAAGCAGAATTTACCTACTGCTCCTACGGAATGTGGTCTCAAAGGCAAAGAGTGGTAACACTGCATGCATGTAGAGTAGGGGTGTGGCTTTCAAGAAAATTGTAAGTTCTCTGCAATAACTTATACAATTTTGTGTGAATGTGCACTGGTCTAGGAAGTGTCCATAATTAGAAATCACTGTATTTATAATCACAAAGCAACAACTGCTATATTAACTAAGCATTTAACAGGTGGCATGTAGTATTCTAATTATGTTACATTTTATATATAAGTATCACCTGAGGTAGGTACTATTTTCACACCCAATTTACAGACAGAGAAACTGATGGTACTGGAATCACTTAAACTACAGTTTATCGACGGAGGCCCTACAATATATTTCCTCATTCATTATGCAGCCGATTCACCCATGAACATGTGTAATAGACAGGACCTAGTCAGTGGTGGCAAACCTTTGGCATTTGTGTTTTTCTTTTAAGACAAAACATGTAAATGTCTGAGTTGTTTTTTCTAAACTAAAATTGCAGCATTCAGGTTTAATTGAGGTGATAAATAAGTGGGCACATTGTGATAAATAAGTGGGCTTGAGGTTGCAGTTTGGGCTCTAGTCTCAGAAGGTTCACCATCACTGAGTCCTAGCCCATTTTATAGATGAGAGAACGGATACTTATAGAGGTTTAAAGAAAACAACAAAGCTTGTTCCAAATTATGCAAATAGTTTATTTTTAGGCTCAGAAAATTCAGTTCTTTTTATTCAATACTGCCTTGAATCCCTTTTATTAAATATAATTTTTGCCAGATTGCAAAAGTACTGGGCATGGTGGTACATACCTGTAACCGCAGTTACTCCAGATGCTAAGGCAAGAGGCTTGTGAGTTTGAAGCCAGCTTGGGCAACACAGAGTGACCCTGTCTTAAAATAAAATGAAAAGGGTTGGGGGTGTAGCTCAGTGGTAGAACTCTTGCCTAGCATGCACAAGCCTGGATTCAAATCCCCCATGCAGCATTAAAAAAAGTGAATTACTTATTCAATGTATGTTCTCTATTTTTTTTCAATGTATATTCTTTAGGTCTTACTCTGAGCTAGGTTCTCTTTTAAACACAGCATGTAGTCAGCTAAAGCTGGCAAAAAAAAAAT